TTTCTCGACTGAGGCTTCGTTAAATAGTTATTAACAATTAAATTCAAAAATTTCGAATCGTTCTGGAAAAATTATTTTCGGTTGCAGGGGTCAATTACAATCATTTTTGGTTAATAGGCATACCTCCGAAATTCTGCGCATTTTCGAGAAAAAAATTCGAGGTGTGAAATTTTTCGACAAAATTGAGAAGTTTCAAATCGTTCTGGAAAAATTATTTTCGGCTGTGGGGGTCAATTGCAATCATTTTTGGTCATTACACACACCCCCAAAATCCTACCCATTTTCGAGAAAAAAATTCGAATAGGTGTGAAATTTTTCGACGAAAAAAATTTTTTCAAATCGTTCTGAAAAAATTATTTTCAGCTGTGGGGGTCAAACACAATCATTTTTGGTCAATAGGCATACCCCCGAAATTCTGCGTATTTTCGAGAAAAAAATTCAGTACAGGCAGAACTTTAATAAAATTCATATTTAAATAAAAATGTCGAATAAAACATGAAAAATACACAAATGTTAATGTGCTCCATGTTTAATAAAAATTACAAACTATATTATATAATCAAGATCATGTTTCACATCGAACGAATAACTGTTAAATCGAATAATCGTTGCAAATATATTACTATATAGCTTGTCTACAAATAAAATAAGGTCGTATAGCCAATTAAGTATTTATTAATCATATCCAGAACGTTTTCGATCTTACCTGTCGATTCTCTTCAACAAAAATTTATATACATTAACAAGAATATTTATTTTCTAACAACAGAATTAATAGAAAGAAATATTTGAAACTGTCCACGTTTGTCTGAACTAAAAATTTCCTTTCACGCCTCCTGCCCCTGCGGGTCGTGACCACCACTTTGGAAAACACTGCCGTGACTGGTACACATGGGTTCTGGGGACCCAGGAGAAATTACTTTTCCTACTGCGGAGAATTGGGTTATTATACCGAACTGGTATTTTCCTAACTCTTACAAAGTTGACTTACGAGCCTGTGACATTATTGTTTGCACAGCTCATTTAATTTCCGTGTAATAATCGTGTTCGGATCCCCTAGGTCCAAGTGTATCATAACCTTTAGCAATATTCGGATATTTATTAAAGAGAACGCATATATTTTTATTTTAAAACGTACTTGTTATTCAATCTTCCTGTAAGGGAGCAACAAATTAAAAATTGTCAGGCTTCGTACCACGGACCAACATCAATGTACGATTGCACTGAATTCTTAATTCGTATCAAAGACGCCCGGGCGTCGATAGGGGCTAAGAATAAACGTAGACGGCACGATAAGCAGGAAATCACGAAATGAGTGTCACTCGTGCTTCGAGAGTCATACATCAAGCTATCCGGTTATTCGTGTAACGCCGGCGAAAGAAAATCGAGACGGTTCCCCGTGGGCGAGCACAAGTCTCTCGAGATCTCGTGAAAGATATGCGTGTCACAGTGTCATCGTGAAACCTTTTTCGACACGATAAAACTCGACGTTACGAATTGCCTCACGTGTTGCAGGGGATTCACCTCTTTCTCTCTCCCTATGCCGCGTAATACGATTCCGCCACGGCAATGGCAAATATTGCACACAATTTTCCATCAAATTGCTCTCGCGTAACTTAATTCGCCAGCGATGGGCGAAGGCGCGTCGAACCTTTTTTCTCCCCATTGGCGTTAATTTTACTCGCGGTATCGTTCGCGCAGAGATATGCTTTTTCCAACCGACGCAGTCCCCGGCCTCGTGTTTCGCGTTAATCCCGACGTTACCTGAAACCCAATACTCGTTTTTGCGCGACTCCAACAAGATAAAGAGGAACACGGATCGTAAGAAAGAGAAACGAATCGTTCGCGCTAGAACGTAAACGCGAACTGAAAAAAACTACAGTTTATAAATACGATGCGCCTCCATATGCGTAATGATGGCTTCTGTGCCGAAGCTCGTTCCGCTTCGGCGGCCAAAGCAAACGAGGGTTCGCGATACGAGGAACAAGCAAAGGCAAACTCAAAAGAGTTTGTGACTGCGATACATCTAAAATACCGATATTATTCGTGGCTAAAAACGAGTCACGAGAAATCCAACGCATTTAGTTGCACAGCCAACAAACGCGACATGGAAACACATTCCAAGCATCGACTACCAAAACGGAATACAAATTAGAAACGTAGGTACTCCTCGTTCGAACGAACAAAGTAGAAACAAACCGAAACAAAATGCTAGATATTTTGGCATTGACCAGACATTTAACATACAAAGCACGTTACAACGTTCGAAGCTACCAGTCATTTGAATAGGTTATCCTCTAATTGTTTCCACTGTATCGTCACACTCTATTCCTGTTTTCGCGATTCTCGCAAACAAACTATACAATAGACTAGTAAACAATTATCGAAGCCCATTGTTTCTCAAGCTATTTTCACCGAACGGGTATCGCTCGGTGCAACAGACATGCTTGTTCCGTCTAATTACCAACCCTCTGAATGTTAATTCAGCTACGCGAGTCTATTGTCAGTGCCCTCTATCGAAGCCGGCTGAAAACCTTCGCGGTGCACGACGCGCGGTTGGAAACTTGAAAAAATAAATATTCCCAACGCCGCGCGATTCCTAGCGTGTCCCGTGTACAGAGTTACACGGTCGCGTTTTGCGCCCAAAAAAGCAAGAGTATGTAACGAACTACTACGTCGCTACTGTTACTAATCGCTTTAGTTGTTCTCGTTTTGCCCCCGGAACGGCGAACTGAATTTACTCGGCGCGAGGAGAACAGAAATGATGATCGGTGCCCCGGTATCGACATGTTTTTCCCGTGCGTTTGCTTCAAAGGGTTGTTGCAACATCACACCGCCTACTCGATCCTTTAATGAATTAACACGAACGTGAAGGGGGGTGACGCATGCAGCTCGAAAAATCGTTAAACATCGCTCTCACGAAGCCCATGCGATAAACGTGTATTACACTTTTCATATCGAAGCAGACCTTGTTGTGTAAAAAGGCGAGAGGCGCGTATGGGCGGCGTGTGTGTGTGTGTACTTACATGTAAATGTGCGTGAACTGTATACGTATAGTAACTTTTTTATGGAATAAGGTGTTCTTGAAGTAGCATTCTCATTAAATATACTGCTGAGATATTTTCTTGAAAGCTGCTGTTTCTTGGATCAGTTATTATTAAAATACATCGTTTCAACGATTCAAGATTTTAATTTATGTTGAGCTAGTTTCTAATTCGAATTTGTTGATGGAGACTTCGTTAAAAAGTTATTAACGTTTAAAGTTCCATCCATACTGAATTTTTTTCTAGAAAGTGGGTAGGATTTCGGGGTTATGTTTATTGACCAAAAATGATTGTAATTTACCCCTGCAATCGAAAATAATTTTTTTAGAACGATTTGAAATTTTTTAATAACTCTTTAATGAAGCCTCAGTCAAGAGATTGATATTCTTGATTTTCGTCTTATTTTGACTTCTAGAATCTTCCAGGAGTGGCCGAACACCCTGTATAAAATTGATAGGTTGATTTTCAAGAATATACCGAGGTACGACTTCGACGTTTTAGACACGTCATCTAGGTATAAAATAAATATTTCCTTTTTGACGCGAGTTTAGCGATAACACGATTCCCTCTCAAACTCGAACCATAGTAAGTCGATTTCGTCCTCTCGAATACAAGGGGGCATTGAAGAAGGAATACCATACAAATAGCGAACGTCCTATCAAAATGCATTCATAATACCATATTCGCAATAACGATACTCTTTCTCCTCAATGCTTCATTGTGCCTACTCAGATATTCAAATTTTCTAAGGATCTTTTTGACAGAAGGATTAAAACGAGAGAGAAATAACTAAAACGAAAATAATCTTATTTATCCAGATTAACAGTTACAACCAATCTCGACTATAAATTCGATCCCTCTCATATAACCTCAAATTACTCATGTACTTTATACCGCTCGATACGCATGCAAGTTGGCAAAGTTTCTTACGACGAATTCTTTCATAGAGTTCGTCTGCTGTAATTCGAGAAGCAGAGTCTCCTAATCCTCCACAAGCAAAACAACGGCTGATGCAAGTAAAGAAAAAATGAAAAAATATCGAACGTGTCATAAATAAAGAACATTAAGAACCATAGGAAGTACCTCTACTATTAGTAGCAATTAAAATAAAAGAAAGTTCTTTTTTCTAGACGTGCTTGTATCGACTAATAATAGATTTAATTTCTTTGAAACATAAAGCATTTGTATAAATTATTTTGATTCGTCTTCATAGACGCTCAATTTCCCTCGAAAAGAAGTCTGTGAAAAAACCGCGAATAGTCGTGGCAAAAGAGAATCGTTTCAAAGAAACATAACGGGTACAAATGCCTGGGATTTTTGGTCGACTGCGTGGAAAAAATCTCTGGTAAGTACGCTCGACCGTGATCGGACTTCGATCTCCCTATTCCATCGAGAATCGATACGTAAGACGCGCGGTCCATCGGGAGGTCGTCTAGCGAACGTATCGCGTTTAGAACGAAAACATCCAGCCACGATTCAGCGATAGAGGGTGAAAGAGAGAAGCCGATAGAGTCCATCGATCGTCGACGGCAAAACACACGCGCGCCAGCTGAAAAAAGGATCCCGTAAACGCGTCCTCCGTGAACGAGGGTGCATTATGGTCGCGTTTCGAAGGAAGCATCGCGTACCTCGTATCTGCTTAAATCGCGACAATATTCGATTCCGAAATATAGACCTTCAAGTGATAGAGATAGGAGGGGGGGACAGACAGGGAGAAAGAGAGGACGGTAAATTACAGGGCGGGTCTTGCCGTGGAAAATCGATGGGAATACACGGAGAGCGCGTAGAACGAACCGCGATGGGGCTCCAGGAACGTTCGTTCGCGTTTTCGTCAACTGACGCGCGATCGCCTCCGCGTGGAAACTAGTCGCGTAAAAGGCCACCATTTTCGCGGCGAGGATCGACGATCGTTTTCGTAAGGGGGGAGAAGAATATCTGACGAACGACGTTGCTTACCTCGCGCTGTCTCGTGGATGGGAAACCTTGGATTCTGCAACTTATCTTCCAGGGGCAACTCGCGATGCTCGGCGGTCCTGCTGACGTTACGCGTGTGTGACACGCTCGACGATGCAGGTGGTGGTAACGGGCGACGATGGTGTAGTGGTGGTGGTGGTGGTGTAGTGGTGACTATGCTCTGGTAGCGGTCGGAGATACGAAAAAATATTATACGCGTAACGCGACTGCGCCACCGGACCGAGTAACTGTGGCTTGAACCGAGTCTACCGAGTACTAGCCAACGTGTACGAGCCGTGTGCGTCCTCGTCGCGGTGCTACCGTCTACTACGTGTTGCTGCTGCCAGAACTACTACCGCTCTACCCGCTCTCCACAGCCTCTTCCTCTCTCTGTGCCACTCTACCATCCCTCCGAGTCCACGCAGCAGCAACGTCCCGCGCGAGTCGCGCGCGGGGTTGCCGCTACCAGCGTCCCCCCAACGCTCTACTGCGCCGAAGGATATTTTCAAACGTACCTGTAGCGGGTCGCTAATTTGCATCGTTGGCTCTCGGTCTCCTCGCAGTCAGGGATGAACGGAATGTACACTGTGGACAAAATTACGGGACAGAATTACTCAAATATGGCATTGTATTTGTATCAAACAACGAAGCTATGCAAGCCCCAGAATACTTTTACTTGGCTTCATCGTCGAATACAGAATATGCCACGTAACATACCTTTCCATACTAGCATTCACATTCGGTAGCTAAATAAACGAAAAATACTTTATTTGGTGCGTTTCTATTGGAATAATTTCATCCGTAGTCAGTTGGAATAATAAATATTATCTCAGGATTATGTTGCTAATCGTTTGTAACTGCGGTGTTAAGCTGTAAGTAGTGGAGATAGAGAAAGGAAGCTGGGCAGGATTAAACAAGGGTAATCCAAAGAGTAAATATGGATCAGTGTCCACTGGAAAGATATGTGTAATTATTACAGGTTCCAGCGTTGTTGTTTGACGATCGTTTACGAAGATTAACCGTAGAAGCAAACGCGTACAAAAACAATGTTACCATTAGAGGCGAATGGAGGATTTAAGTAAATATCGTATATACTGTAAGGAACGCGTACGAGAATCGATATCCGCGGGAAACAGTAAAGACACCGTAACGGATAGCAGACGGTTGAGTAGTATAAAATACGAACGATGATCCATTCTCGAGCGAGCGTTTTACGAATGCCGAGCAAGAAATATGGCCGAAACAAGATTCAAATTAGGGAACGTAATTTATGCTACTGTGCTTCGTGACTGTTTTTACCGACATGCTTCACGTTATGTTCTCGTTTTTACCGTTCAGGCTAAAAAGATTACGAGTATCTTGGCGCACAAGATACATACGTGTCCCGTGATGTTCGAGAAACAATGAACTAAACCAGTCATACTTTTATTCAATAGAAGAATAGAGAAAGTCAAAACGTCAATCAAACTGCATTTAATCTTCGTAAATACGTTAACAAACCTCGCATTTCCTACGTCTACCGTGTTACAAACACGATCGCATAAATTTCCTGCGGCACGTACGTGTACATTATCCGCCAACTTGTCTTTCCCGTATCTAGCGAACGATTAATCTCCGCAACGTAGCGATTAAACTACGACTGCGAGTATGCAAGAATATCGATTCGAACGAATCGAATGCAAAACATGGTATACGATGCCAGAGCGTGCACGAGATAACCGTAACGGGGGAAAAAGTCCGTTAACAAACCTCAAACATCGACCAACGGTCTTGTCCGTGGTTCTATTCGGGCCACGATCCCGATAAGTGTATTCTGGTAAAATTTTTTCCCCGCGAATACTTCGACTTCCCGAAAGTGGCGGAGGGGCTTGGCGGAGACCAACCAGTTAACGAGACGGTCGCTCGCATACGCCATATATTGCGCGATCACGTCTCAAAGGTAGCTCGTTTTTCTTGGAACGCATAGAAGAAGCTAGACCTTCTTCCTCCGCGGAGCTCGGGTCATATACATTTGCTGGTTCCTTAATTGCCCGCCAGAAGCGGTTTTTCGCGCAGGGAGCATACCGACCGATCTCTTTTCAACGCATACACCGACGACTGCGCTTTCGTCCGACCTTCCGCGCAATCCTGTTCCACGATCGTGGGACGATCGGAAGAAAAATCGCTTGCGCAAGGGTTCGCTGCACCAGAGCATTCGAAGTTTCTTAACGACCGGCTGAACTGGATTTAAAGGAAAACAGGATCTCGCGATCCTGTTATAGTCGTGTCTCGAACCATTTCGATCGTATTCGTCGGATAGATTGTTTAGGTTAAATAAAAAACGACGTTACTTATATTCACCACCAGATGGCCGTTGACAAAGTCAGCTCGTTGCAGAAAATTTTGACCCGAGAACTCTGAAATCTATGTCGATAAAAATCTAGCTGCGTCTAAAACAAGGCTTCCTAGGTAGACTTTGATGTGTCCATTAGCATTAACATGGATGAAATACGAATTATTCGAAACTAATCGAACGATGAAAGTTTGATGAGTTTTTAATTAAATTTATTACTTGGATGCCCGAAGGGGTTAAGTAAACATTTCATTTGGCGGGAAAAAGTTACCAATGGCGACTACAATGCGTGTCGAAGGTTTGGACCCCAATTGAAAAAACGATTGCGACCCCGGGATTGTTGAAATTGGTATCGCGAACGATTTATTGCCAGCGAAAACGATGCAAAATATCGTTCGCGTGACGTCTCTGGGTTAGCGGGTTGACGTCGAATAAAATGAAGACTTACACGCGATCATGCTACGTGTACGCGGTTGATACGTGCATGGGGAGTGATTGTCAGAAGTGACATCGGCGCGGGGGAGTAAATCACGTCGGCATTAAGACAATTACGTGGAGAACGACGGGTCGAGCCGCGTCGGTCTACGTGTCTTGGACAGAAACAGATGTCTGATATGCCTTTTATTTCGACTCCACGGTCAGCGACGTATACACGTATATGTTAAACACTTATTCGATCCGCAGGACGTACGTAGGATAAATGCATAGGCGTCGGTATAAGGCATTAAAAATGCGACCAATATCGCGAAGGATATTGTGACTTACGATCGAACAATCTTTTACTTTACCTTGTATTTCAGATCGTTTTAAGAATAAATGAAGAAACAAATGAAGAATAAAAGTAAAAATTCTAAACAAAGTCCATTTCTTACCTGTAAAACCCAAAATTAATTAACCTACCCTGATCGTAGAAAGGTCATTGTTTAACACAGTTTATCTACGGTACCCGGGGTGTTGGAAACGCGTGAACAGTTTTATGATTAAGTTTATGCAGAAAACACTATAGCGGCGACCATGTCCGCGATACCATCCGAAAGTGTGTATATGTGTGCGCAAAAGTCTGTCTGTACTGTGATCGTGCAATTGTGCGAAGGAAATGAGATCAAGTTTGAGTGATTGCGGACAGCAGTCGAAGAGAGGAGGAGAGTGGTAGGGAATGGAGATAGGACAGTTCAAGAACCGAATCTACAGATCGGCGACTGGATATACTGAAACAGACGAAGCAGAAGATTCTTATGAACATCGAGTACGTCGACTGTTTTCAAATAATATTTCGAGAGATTTTCTTTGTTGGGTCGACACCTTTCTCGTTACGTTTTTAACGTAAGAATTAGCTTGGAATCGTGTACAGGCACTAAAAAAAGATACATGGAAATAAATTATTACACGGGTGTACAATGGATTTTCGGTAGTGAACGATGCTTTGAAATAATTACAACGTTAATTAAGATTGCTTTCAAAAATAAACATTTATTTCAAAATTAATGCTTACCAGCTGTATCCTAAAAACTAAGGTCTATCCTATACACCAATTGTGTTTAGGTGTTGTTCTTAAGATCTCTTAAGACTTCATTGCATTATTAAGTTGTGTACACTTATTTCATTTCGGTATAGTACCTTAATAGCTTCCGCAGCAAAATTCAAACACTCTTCTAGTTTGTATCATCACATGATCCCCTTGTACACATATATTACATTCAAATGGCAGTGCCAGAATGCATTCTGCACATATCTAATGATTCAACTTGAAATCATGCTTACAAACTGGATCACGTACTAGTTCTTTATCGCCGAACTTTATTTTTCGGGACGAATCTCACTCTCCTATGTCTTGATAAAGATTAAAATGATAGTACCGCTAAGTGGTGATATCACATTTATGGTTCGGAGTATGTACTGTCTGGTCGATTGATGAAAAAAAAAAGAAGAAAGGGACACAGACTTAGACAGCATCTTTTGCAGATTGTACCAGTTCTCCAAATGAGGTTTCCAAGCATTGCCGTAATTCTGCATAACTTACTACTAATACACTTTGTTCATCTCGTGACATCAAACATATCTATAAGATTATAAAAAAAATATTCGAAAATACATATTACGAGATAACCTAAAACACGAACAAGTATTTTATATGTACATACACTGGTTTCAAAAAAACCTTGTTCATACTGCGACAAATGTACTGAAGTCATCAGCCAATCAGCTTGCACGTCCAACTGCATTCTATCAATCGGAAGTCGAAGCGCGCCTACACATTTCTAGTAGTATGAACAAATTTTTTTGAAGCCAGTGCACATTGCTAAAATATGAGTAATATGGTCCGGGAAAAGAATATACCTTATCCTGAGAACCTGAATCCAACTTATTTAAACAAGATACAACATGTGCCATATCCAACCACGGCCTTCCATCAGCTGCTACCTGGTGGAAAACATAATCCCTAAACAATTTGAGCATGTATCGGTCACCCGTCTCTGCCCACGTAGGTTCCATATTAAGATCAGGTCTTTCGTTAATAGTGGCCAATTTTACAAGTAACTTAAATAATCTCCCATTTTCCAACTCCTTGGCAAGTTCATTCTCCAACACGTCCGATCGTAGCAGAGCCGCGTCTAATTGTGTATAAAATCGTGCTCCTATCATTGGCATGAGATCAGTTACACTTCTTCGAGCTTGATTTGAAAGTAAATACCTATAAAATGGTATTTCTATATGAGGACAAAGTAACGTATCAACTATGTTACTTCTTTCCCTTCCATCAAAAGTGTTGCTTCTCTATTAAAAAACTAACTCGTGCGTACCGAATTAAACAACACTGACGTGTAACTGAGCGAAAAAAACAATGAAAAAAAATAACAGCACGTATAAAACGCGCCAAATTAGTATGATTCATTTTTAGCAAAAGATACTGTATAGTAAAGGTAAAATGTATACGAACAGAATGAGATTTCGAAGATCCGTGGAGTAGGAACGCGCGACGAGCTCGAGGGAGGCTTGCATGTTGTCGCGATGGACGGCAAGGAGACTGCGACATGCTAAAGCCAACACCAACTTTCCTAGAGCGATTAAATCTTCCTGTTGATAATGTGGTATAAGCGAGAGTGGATTTGCTGCGTTTCCATCGAATGTAACAACGTCCGGTATGGCCACGCAACTTAGACGAAGTCTTGTACGAGATGTGAGCAACACTTTTGTGGGGTCCAAACATCTATATGCCAAACCTATTTAACACAATTGTAACACCGTTCAATAATATATCTTGTAAATCTGAAGGCAACTAAACATATTATTGAAGTATACGAACCAGCAGCGTGTATAACACGAAGCGCGGCAGTGAGTTGAATTATATAGCTCCATATGACACTCTCTGGTAGCATACTGCTATGTTGTTGTCTCAAAATGGTGTTTTTAGTATGACTATAAGGTCGGGGAGCATTGGGATCTGAAGAAAATGGATCCGTATACCCATTTAATTCAGTAGCTGAGAAATGTTTATTTAGTAGCGTTTCCGAACCAGGATGATAATCATAAACAAACACCATGGCTGTAATAATGAAATTGTTTTATAAAAGTAAATTTACTGTATTTTCTAGTATATTAATACAGACAATGGTCACCAAAAGCCTTGGTAGTAAAAACTTCTCTCAACTGTACCAAATTGGTATGCGACAATCGTTTCCACATATCTACCAGCACCATACATTTCGTGTTAGCAAGTCTGAAATCTAAGAACATATGAAATGTCCTTATTTCAGTATCAGTTCTCGAATCTCCCCGTGTAACTGCGTTGCACATTGATAGTAAAAAAAATAAAAGAAACTCACCATGTATACGACGTAAACAATAACGCGTACCGCTTTTAATGCTAGTAGCTTTGTACGTTGACGTTTGATATCCAAGCATCGTTGAGGCAGGTTTATGGATTGGTTCTAGTGGACACAGCTCGTGATAATTATCTACCTCGTTTGGTAAGTCGGGGAATCGTACTACATCAGGTTGCGCTAATGTTAATGCATTTTTTTGAAGAATGTCGATTCGCAAACTTTCACTGACAAAAAAGCTAGGTGTCGCTTGAGGAGGCGGTGTAGAAGGAGCAGAAGAGCTATTAGACGATGGAGGTTTCACTGGTTTCACTGGCTGAAGATGCGCAGGTGTACCTGGATACACATAGCCTACCTGACCTGCTCCCACATTTACAATCTATCGATAAAAAACGTTATTAGTCGTTTAAGGAACAAAAACTAAAGCGAACTTGTATTAACTATTGTTAAGCTTGCTTACAGTTTCAGTTCCTTCCTCGGCACCAACAGTATCGGTCGCGGCATTCCCAAGGTAAAAATAAGTAGTACCGCCCACATTCTCTTGCGAATGATAAGAATTATTGAAAAGATTTGGAGAACTGCTGTTGCTACTAGTTAGACTCCTTCCAGGTACAAATTCTGGACTGGCAGTTACCTTTTTCTGCGAATCCAGAGAAAGATTCGACAAATGTTTTGTAATGGCGGTGGTACTTAGAGTTACCCCTGGGCTTTGACGATTCTATCGAAAAATACATAATAAAGTAATTATGTGTCATGTTGTTGTTCTCCATTATATTTGATTAGAGACTATATCTAATTAGATGATATAAAATGGAAACTTTTACTAAGATTTGACTCTCCTCAAATAAATTGCAGATGAGTAGTACACTACCATGTAGGTAGCAAGCTTGGACTCCAGTGGAACGCCGTTTGTTTGAGTGGTGTACGCAACAAACATTGATGGGTCCATTTCTCCTTCAACCACTGCATTTACCGCTATCACGCTTAACCCTCACTTCTACTCTTTTCTATTTTCCTCCCTGACGTAAATCCCTTTGCACCTGCTTCTCTCAATTGTAATTAACAAATGTGCTCTACCACAACTGTTTGCTTTTGTTATAATATAGATACCCGATGCGATATCGAACTCCAAATCCTGTAACACATCTTATAGATACATGAGTGAAGACGAAAGCTAATAATAAAAAGATAAAGATTAACAATAGACTACAGCAATCGTCGCAAAGTAAATTTGTCTCAAACTAGAATTCATAATACTACATATTACAATTATCTCTTAAGTGTTACTAGTAATATAATTTTCAACTACTCATTAATAGCAAACTATGTATAAAATTTGAGTAATTGTATACAATTTGTAAAAAACTTCAAGAAAATTAAAAAGAGAAATATCATTACATTAAATCTAACCAATAATATACAAGTTGAGTACAATTAATAGTATTGTTTGTATTCTATTTGATTGCATTGTTTCAAAACGTTTAAAAAATCTGAATGTTATCAGGAAATAAAACAATATGAGAACAATATGAATTAAAAACAAAATATGATTCGTTTACAAAATGCATACAAATACTCCGATTTCATTTAATCTATTCTACATCTAGTCTGCGTCTACTAGCATTTGTAAAATGTGAATTTGACGAAATGTACCGCTCGGTCTGAACGAAGAAAAATAACTTGCCGCGTACGCCTTTGCGAGCGGCAAAAATAACAAGATTCGTCGATTCTGAATGAAATTTCGTTAACAAGAAGTGCGGTTTCAGTTAAAAAAAAAATGAAAACACAAAGGGAAAAGGAAAGGAAAACCGAGAAGTACAAGTGGAATCGTACGCTATAGTAATGGCAGCTGATTTTGACAATACAGCGAAAAAGACGCACAGGATATAACCTTGGCTCCACGTTACTGGCGACGAGGAATTATTCACTGTGTGCGCGAATTCGATGGAAAAAATAATCTAAACGATTGTGCAACGAAGCAGGACAGATGATCGAGAGAATAAAAAATACGAGTACGTGTACGACGAAATGCGTACAAAAAGTACGCCGCGTTAACATAACCATTTACGCTGTCACTGATGTCGCGTCGGTGTACGGCGCCAAAATTCCGATCTCTTCGATATGTTTGCGATACGTGATGGTAAACGCGAGCAACGAGTAAAGACAATTAGAGGGCGATTTAGTAGCAGTCTGACCGTGTTATAACATGTTTCCATCCAGCAGACAAAGGAGAAAGCAGAACCAATCCAATCTTGTATGTTTATGGTGTTCTCCCTTTGCTTCGGCCTCGTATTTTTCTCTTTCTTCCTCTCTCCCTTCCGCCCTCCTATTCATGTCCTTCGATCGGAGCAGCTGTCTCTCTGCCACGGCTTGTCTCCGGGCGCGCTAGACGCGACTTGTATATTTACCTTTCGAACGCGCTAAGTACCAGACGGACCGCGACTAGCTTGCGATTTCGACTCTTTCGATATACGTTATCGTTTTAAAGCAGATTACCCTTCGATATGGCGGCCATGCTTCAAATTAATGTTCCTCGATTTTCATATTTGTATTATTAATAGCACTTACGAATTATTACGTATATAAGGATAGTAATCAATTGGAATTATTTTCATTATTATTATGTATGAATGTACATGTATACGATCTTAGCCATAGTCGTGTAAAATATATCTTAAAGAATTTATTTTGTATATTTTTATCAGTGTTGTTCCACAATACTTCTGCAGTTTATCTGTCTCTGAAGCACACTTATCAATCTAATAAAATTTATTAATCAAGTGTGAGTTAGTAGGAGACTTGTGTTACGCAAATTCATGTAAGAAAATTTGCCTGAATATTTGAGACGTAATTAAAGGATATATTAATGAAATATTTTAACATTTATAATGATAATTAAACAATTGCAAAATCAAAAAGATATGCTGACGTACAAAGGTTTATCTTATGTATGATTTAAGATTAAGCACTTTACGCAAAAGATAGTACCATACAAAGATAACTTGTTGGTTAGGCACGCTGATTGGCCGTAGCGTAATAGCGACGCCTGTCCTCACACGCGTTGTCATTATTGGCTGAGACAATTCCGTCGCGTGACAAAGAACGCGAGCGAAATGTATCGAGACAGAGTAGGATAGAACCATAGTGCGACCTACTCTCCTTACCCCTGTGCTGTTCGGTTTGTAGATGTCTAGCCAACAAGTCATCTATGGACGGTACATATAATGTGCATATCCTGTTATGCTGAGATTACTGTTTTGAAGATTATTGCGAACATAACCTAAAAAGTACGATTCAAAGCGTGTACTTACATTTGAATTTTTATTTTTCTCCCAATAAAAGTAATGTGGATATGATATACCAAATTACAACATGAAATACGTGATTCGAAAAAGTTGATGAAGACCGAAACGGCAGCCTTTGGCTCTTTTAAAAACATAACCAAATGACAGCTCTCAAGCAAGTATATAATATTCACATACATGACCTAGTAAATTGTTTAAGAGATTGTCATTAATTATTCCCCATTTACAGATAGTCTATTTTAACAAATTCAAAATTTTGACTGTAAGCTGATTATTAAATGCTATATATTTTTGAGGGAAATTACATTTATCTATGCATTTGAAAGGAATGAAAAGAAAAACGAGAATGTGAAAAATAGATTTGTTTAAGTATGTTAAACAAAGCATGTTTTTTTTATGATATATTTTTAATATGTACTGCAATAAAGCTTACTATTTATGTTGAATTCTAATGTGTATGGCTCTACATACATATGTAAATTAGAGTGTATGATAATATTGTTTTTTTTTAAGACAAATTGCTTTTAATTATATTGAATGTATAATAGTAAATAGTACACATGTCACTTAATTGTGCAAATATCAGAAAATATATATGATACAAAGCCTTTGAAAGTATTGTTATAAAGTTGTGGGAATGGGGAATTGTTTGTGTAAAGAAACACCAGAAGAACATGAGGTATATAGTGGACATAATGATGCAAATGCGGAAAATTCAGTGTTATCGGAATCAAGTGCATCTAACGATGTAACTGCTACAACATTTAAGTTTCCAACTTCATCTAACATTGATAAATTGGTACTTGAGACAATAGAAGTTATTGATTTCTTTGTTGATAAGTGAGTAACATGAATTTTAAACTCTTGTATGTACAAGTACATACATGTGTTATTAGATTTATTATTTAGAGTGTTTAAAATTTTTCTACTATTAAATAATGTTCAAATATGTATGTTCAGTGGGCAAGAACCACCACGCGCATTGTTAAAGTTACATGCAATTGCTGATAACGAAGATGGATGGATACGAGTAGTTAGTTCAATGGTTAATGTTATTCCCATGTGTAACCCATTAGGTCCTTCACTCATTACACTTCTGTTAGATGAGTGTCCACTACCTTCAAAGGTACAATTACATTTTTGCATTTTAATGATTACATGTAAATGCATTATATAATTATTTTAATTTCTTAGGAATTAGTTTTAAGATTGTCACATATGTTTCAATCATCACAAATACAAGGAAATGTACAAACTAGTGCAACTCAACAATGTAATATATGTGTGGTATTGGGTTGTATAGCAGAAAAATTAGCTGGGCCAAGGAGTGTTGCAATATTATCTGATATAACCCTGGACTATCTCATCTCAAATCTTGTATGTTTTATAACCATAATTATGATAAGTAAGAAGAGTATTTGTTAAACATCCATTTCAATTTAATTTAATTTTACATTTAATTTCAGAGAGAAGATGTTGATCCTTACGTTGCATTATATTCACTGATAGCTTTAGAAAAGTTTGCACAAACAAGTAAGTATTAACCATACTCGCTTTAATGATATTAATCTACCGCGAATTATATTACTTTTACATGTTGACAGGCGAAAATAAAATAACAATCAAAAAACGTTTAATGGCAGAAAATCCAAATCCACTCTTAGAATTGGAAAAATGGGCAACAGAAACTCATTATGTACGCCGGCAAGTAGGTTTCTGTGCACAGTGGTGTTTAGATAACTTATGTAAGCATCACGAATTTATGCTACATACAATAATAAAGAATCTAAGCAGTAAAACGAGAAAAATATATAAATATCTATGTTATTTCAGTTTTAATAGAAGGTAGAAAGTATTCTCATGATTCAGTTGATATGACTGGTATTAATGTTATGTTGAATACAAAAGATGTAAGCGAGTACCTGAAAATATCACCCAATGGTCTGGAAGTAAGTTTTTCTGTATGTTGTGCGTTTTATTAAGGAATATCTATGTATGTTTATCACTGTCCTTATTAAAATCATAGGCGCGATGTGATGCATATTCATTTGAAAGTGTAAGATGCACATTTCAAGTAGATTCTGGCATTTGGTACTATGAGACACTTGTAATAACTACAGGAGTAATGCAAATTGGGTGGGCCACAAAACATAGCACGTTTTTAAATCATGTAAGACTTCGCATTTTTATCCTAACCTATACAATCAGGCACCGACAGAAAAAATAGATTTTTGTTATTTTATTTCGATATTTTAGGAAGGTTGTGGTATAGGTGATGATGAATATTCTTTGGCCTATGATGGCTGCCGCAGACTGATCTGGTATGATGCAAAAAGTGAAAAATACGACGATAAGCGGCGTTGGAAACCCGGTGATATTTTAGGTTGTTTATTAGACTTGAACAAATTGGAAATAATATTCTCTATAAACGGTGTTCCGCTCAAACCATGTGTTCAAGTTTTCAATACAGCAAAGTATGTGTATTTTTGTTCTTGTAAATGGTTAATATAATCCGATCGGACTGTTAATGTTAACATAACTGAAATAACCAATTCGCGTCGTAAATGTTTCAGGTCTGGATTTTTTGCAGCAGCCAGTTTCATGTCGTTCCAACAGTGTCTTTTCAATTTTGGAAATGTACCATTCAAATATCCTCCTACTGATCGTGAATATAAAAAATTCAATGATTATGCTTCTTTGAAGCCTGAGGATAAGGTTGTGCTTCCTAGACACATATACTTAGATCAACTAACAAAACTTAACGTTAGAGAAGATTCGTGTACATTGTGTTTCGACCAAAGAGCTTCAGTAATATTACTACCATGCAATCACAGGTAATATACCTACGTTTATTACACCTGATCCTTTTTTTTACCTGGTCTTAATTTCAAGCATATTATGTCTATGTTCATGTAAAACGTACGTTCCTGTTTCTTAAGTAGCAATATTTAAAGCGTTGATACGAGCATAAGGAAATTGAAGTATAGTTAGAAACCATTAAAAATATAATATAATTGATTACATATTAAAATGTACGTAGATGCGACGCGTGTACCGATAAGCATTCTTTACTGCATTAAGCAAGGATCAGTTATCTTATTACCTAAACGCGTAGTTGATATGGAATATAAAAATAAATACTCTTTCAGAGGGTTTTGCCAAACGTGTTTAAATCAGCTGCTAGAGTGTCCAATGTGCAGGGCTCCGATCGAAGAAGTAGCTCTTGATAATTCATGAGACAACATAAGCATACCAGCATTTCGTAATACTCTTCCTCTACATTTTTCACATTACACAATTCTCAGGAACTGTCACAAGATAATCACACTTGCAGAACGCCATAAGCGTAACGTATTGAATATAACTATACTATTCTGTGCTTTTCTTTTCTTACAATACAGTATTTTAAATCGTGAGAAGGACTACAAATCAATCACAGATAATAAAGTTGCATCGAATTACATTACATTTCTGATGTGTATTATTCTGAATGTTGCTTCCAAATTATTATACTATAAATTGAAAGCAACAAAGAATATGATCATATGTCTATTGGCTGTGCAAACTACCTTCCCTAGGTTTTGTCTACATACAGTTTGCATTGATTTAGATATCTAAAGTAAAATAGCGAAATAAAATTTAAATATTTTTTTTACATTGTAGACATTCAAAGAAATAGTATCTGCAATTTACATTTAAATTGCTACAAATGTATATTGTATATTTCCAATTTAATGTTTGTGACTGGTTCACTCTTTTCTTCTTCTCTCTTAAATTATGAAAGTCTGCATTAATTGTTAACTATACTTGTCAATGTTGACAAGCAAGTAACTAAATTTGTGCTATAATGTAAGATTTATGTTAGGGAACTGTAAAATATTAATATCTTGTAGTATATATTGAAAAAAATCATATATATATAAAGCTCATATTATTTTCCTGTGAAGACATAAAATGTTATCACATGTATAAGTTTGCAAAACTTTTCTATGAACTATGTTGATTTTTATTCACAACTTCCTTTCTTATTTTTTAAGATACCAATTTATGTATTAAATATATAAGTCACAACTATATATTTTGTATTCGTAACCTGAAAACGATTTATTGCTTTATAATAGTTTAGAAACTATTCATATGCACTCCCTTTCTGCAGTTTAATTAGCAAAATTTCAGAATTATTTAAAACTAATTCAGAATTTTGTGAAAATTCTAAATAAAACTAAAATCTGTCGCATTATATCGCATATGTAATTTCGATTCCAATCTCTTCAGTATTAATTAATATTCCTACAAATAGCAACCAGAAAAATAATTCACTTACAAATTTTGTTGGCTTGAGAAACATTCCGATGGATACAATGTTTTATTCGTGACTTAATCCCACTTGTCGATTAAAAATAGAGAATTTTTCTTGTATAACAGTCGAGCAGCTTTCATACCGTTATACTTTCAAAATTTAAGAAACCGTTGAAACGAAAATTAAAATTGGCAATATCGATATCTACGCGGACAATATTAAAGAAACGATATCTCGATTCAGATTGTTAAACGCACGGCCACGAGGGCGCGTTGCAGTTTGTTGCAACATGGCGGGTGAGTGAGTGCCTGTGGATCGAACGAGGCTGTCCAAAAACACGAGGGATTTTCAGCTAACCCGTGGTGTTTGTGGGTTTCAGATACATCCTACATCCAGAAAGAAGACCTGGACGACTCAGACGAGGGTGAGTACTGACACGGAAATACATTTTTGATGGTTGTAAATGTGCGCGGAAGGGGTCGGCCGTTCGGCACGGTGGCCCCACCATCGAAGCATGCCAGTGTCTGGCGTGCGTGGCGGTGGCGTGGTCGTAAACTCACGCTCGTCTAAGTACGTTCTATCTCGAAAGTGTTTGAGGTTAGGTCGGCTTATCAACTATATTGCCATCCATGACAGCGTAGTTCCGACACCTTTGAACGGGTGTCACGTTGCAGTTTGACTGCAACCCGTATGTCACGCCGTGAGTCTCACATGCGCGAGCAAGGGACACGAGATCGTCTCGATGGCGTTTTATCGGTTAGGGGGCGCCACAAAACATGCCGCGCTGTGTTTACCTCGACCGTGGTTGAAAAAAGGGAGAAAACAGAAAAAGGTCACGCGGTCGCTTTACGTTCTCATGTATTGTTCCTATCTTTCTTCGGTACTTTCCGTGAGTTTGTTCCACCGATCGAAGTACCGTATACTTCCTAATCTTTCTTGAATGGATATACTGCGACCTCTGTTCTTAACCTATGCCTGACGATATGCCATGACGTTTAACGAGTACGTACATTATTTTCTTAATACACAAGATTTATTTCTATCTTATCTGGTGGAAGAATGCGAGAATACGTTGATTAACTTTTAATATGTTTAATTTGGGCGATCGAACGTGGGTTCTTTGTACGGGGACGAAAATATTTACTGCGTCGTACGTAAGACTTTTTCAAGAGAACAATTTCGAAATATTGATTTAACGTACGACGAAAAACATCATTCCTTTCGTTTCATTACTTCGTATATTGTTGGATATAGGGCCACAGTGTGTATATAAACCCCACAGAAACGTAAAGACTAATTAAATCGAACGTAGTGAAAGTATTTCGAAGGGCTGAAGTAAACAAAGAGTTAATGCGCGGTTATTCGCCTGTCGGGGTTAGTGATCTTTCGACTTCCATCTATTTGCTAGTGCCATCTGCCGTGTAGAAAACGAAACCAGATTATTAACTCAGGATACAGCCTTTTCGCGTATGTTTCTTCAGATCGAAGATTCGAGCGTGGTACGAATTCGAAATATCAAAGTCTAGAATTTTTTTATTTTTTTGTCGATCAAAAATATGTTATGCCAACACTTATCGACGCACGCTGGACCCTGCGTACCGATAAAATCGACAATCTACCAATGTAGGGCATTTACCTTTACTTTCTTGCTCTTATACACACAAATTCCCTCATCAACTGTCGCTGCCAACCAACTCGTTGGCCCTAGTTGGTTTTATCTAACATTCCAGAGGTCGTTTATCAGCTCGGCTCACTTGTATTTCTCGGTGCTGGCAGATAGAAAAACATTCGGGTCTGTGCCCTTCGATTCTCGAGTCACGGTTACGACGATCAGTTTACAGAATTTGTTCGATTTCTTATCGATCGCACGAATTCGGGTGACGTTGACACGGTGACTGTCATGGTGGTCACCGGTGACCGACACTTTCAAATTTACCTTCGACCATGCATTCTTTTAATATCAAAGCAGATAGTATACGTTCATCGTTAACCTCGTACAGGTTCCTTTTACGTGAGTAATCCTTTACGATTCACGGCTCGCGTATCCTACTTGATGACGTGCAAAAGCAGCACGTGACACACCGCTTCCTGATTCATACTTCCGATCGCGGACACGGCGCACGTAGAATTATTTTTTTTTTTTTCTCGTTCGACTTTCGCGACCGTCATTCATTTCGGGCGATATCGATCGAATCACGATACCGGGAAACAAACGATTCGCGGAACGGGATGAGTTCGAATTACAAGCTGATTCATTTCGAAGTGACGGTAATCAGCGATCGCGCGTCGGCGAGATACGTTCGTTGAATTTTTCAAAGTCCGACATATGGCTGGATGGCCACGGGAGCCACGGTAAACGATAGTAATCAGTCGCGATTATGCAAATTATTCGGTGACTGGCTGTGACAGCCAGCGGGGGCCGTACGTTTCTCGGGTATCAATGAATCCTTCTTTTGATTCGCGTGACAATATCGTCATATTTGCGAGTCGCTTCGTAATTCTAGGCTGACTGGAACGAAACCCCCGAGAGTTCACGTGTACGAACGATGTTTCGGTGATCAAATTCGCAGTACCGAACGTACGTGTAATTATTAGAACGTCGAAGCGAGTTTACAGGCGGCAGACATTGTTTGAATGTTGAACTTAGAAAGCGGAGCCACGATCGGGAGCAGGCGTTTAGTTGCTCGCGTGATAACATCGGTCTATCGGTTGTCGTTTAAACAATTTTCCAGGTTAGTCCTTCAATTTTCTTCCTCGCTTCTGTTTCTGTATTTTATTACAATTTATACAGCGGGTAGATTTGTCTTTTATTATCGTCTCGATTCGAGAAATTGTATGAGAGAACCGTCCTCTTGCAGGATTCGAATTTCGGTCTTCGAGGTAGCAATCTGGGACGGCCGTGTATTGGCTACCGGTGGCGGTTGAAAACTACTTACATTACAATGAAGTTAACCCCTTTGTGCTCGCGTCTAGATACAGCGAACCTTATTTACGAAACATAAAATTATTTTTTTCTTTACGAAATAAAAATACAGGTAACCCTTCTATAACACGGTAGATAGGTTCCTAGAAAATGCGTTGTGTGAAACCGTGTTATATGAGACCCAAAGCCAGTACAAAAGGGGGGGTTACATTTCGAAAACTTATTAAAAACTTTTTTTTTAATTCCACATAAGCAACTTAATATTTATGAAAAATATAAATGTATGTATAACGCACAAAAAAAACCAAAAAATATTATTTTAATTTAACACAAGCTTAATTTAATAAATTGTAATTTGTTTATATTTTTTCATGTAAACTATAGTTCGTTATTTTAAAATCATGTTATCCAGTGTTGTACAAAGGTTTTCGCAGTTTTCTTATCGTGTTAGAGCGAAACCGTGTTGTAGGAGGGCTACCTGTACGCATATTCTCGAGATGCGAACGAACAAGCGTGGAAAGTTTGAATCAGACGTCGTGGCGTTCGAGAAAAAAAATTCGGCGAACAAGCGGTCCTTTTTACCGTTTAAAAAGTAGAAGACGCCCTTAACGGTGGCCTGGATAACTGAACCGATTAAAAAGTAGTCCAGCCCCCCTTTTCGTCTGCGACTCGTGTACCGCGCGACGTATTCGACGCGTATTTTCGTAAGAGCGAGGCAACGAGGAGGATCATCGACGCAGACGCGACGCGATCGATCGAACTCCAACAGGTTACGAATTCTGCGAGTCCTTGCGAAACATTTGTCGCGAAGAAAGAGAGCAATCTCTTTAACTGGCGCGTACGTTGCTCCCTATTCTGTTTGCGTTTATCGGCAAAGTGATCTCTTTCTCTTTTTTTTTTTCTTCTGCTTTCCCCCCCTCCTCTCCCGGTACGACGTCGACATCGGTCGAGGAGGATAGGCGACGTATAAAGAACAGGAAAAAAAGAAAGACGAAAGCAGGGAGAGGAAGAGGCATAGGACGAGTATAGGTGGATATACAGAGAAACTTTAATTTCTTGGCATTGTGAGGAGTTCCTTGCCCTTTCAGCCTTTTCAGTTCGGTGGTCTGTTTTTGATAGGAGGCCACGTCGTCTAGACACACCGGGGGTTGCCCGGCTTTTATAATCGCAACGAAATGCACCCCTCCGTGCTCGACGCAAAAATACCGGTTTTTTTCGCCCGTTCTCCCCCCCATTTCTCGTTCTCTCTCTCTCTTTCTCTCTCTAACTTGCTCGCTCGCCCTCCCCTCCCATCGTCGTTGAATTTCTCTACCCCCTTAGCTCCCGTCACCCCTTCGTTCCGTAGCGACGTGCCGGCGCGTTACATTAAAGTGATTTATTCTCTTTATTAAATTCGCATTCGAGGCTACGAAGGCACATTCTCGGCTCGCGTGAATCGAATCCCAAGACCGGATGTGCCCGGAACGATACGCGTTTCTCCTCTGCTGGAGAC